TGTGAAAAAACTGTTTCATTGCAGTTTTTGGAAAACACCAATTTCGATACGGCTGAAAAACCACCTCATCCTAGCGCAAAAACATTTTGTCAAAAAAAAGAATTTTTTTTTTTTTAAATTGACGTGTTTCCATTGAGCAAATTTATTTTCGAAATTCTAATTTGGGCATTTTCATGGTCAATGGAAACACAGCTACTAAGTGTTTACATGAAAGYTGTTTGGATTATCAATCGGCATAATCCACCCCTCTTATTCAGATTACTAATTCATTCCAACAGAGCTGAATCAGATCAGAATATTCAGATTGGCGTGTTTACATGGTGCGTTTTTATTCAGATTACTCATGCCCATGTAAACATAGCTACTAATTACATCATGAGATGTTTTAACAAACACACAAAAACAAAACCATACTGTCCACCTCGGGCTGTCTGCAGCAGGCGATATTTAAACATGCTTACGGATTGTTGCTTTTACACCACTGAAGTATTTCAAGCTGAGATGACAAAAGATCACAAAAGTCCTGCAGAACCTGGTCATTGGCTGAAACCTGAAAAACAAATATAGAAACAGCACAAAGTTTAAAACAATAAAAAAGAAGATCCAGATGATGTGCAGGAAGACCTAAATGTTTCTGTTTTTACCTGCTCTTTGTGAAGGATGTTGAGAAGCAGCTGAGCAGAACTCAGACTGCGACACTGACTCCATCCAAGCAGCAGCAGCAGTCGAGATAAAGGCCTAAACTCCAGCTGGAGAAGACTTTTCAGCTGACTAAACTCCTCGAGTTTAATCAGATCGAGTGCTGTGACCTACACCAAGACATGTTCTTTTATTAAACTGCACAAGCTTATAATCACRTGTATTTACAGTCCAATTTCACCTGATTATAAAAACACTGTACWAATGGTTTGTTTTGGTTCTCTTATTGTCAACAAACTTGTGGGAACAGATTTCAGAAGGTTACTCACTAAGACCTGTTCCAGAAAGTGCTTCCCACTGTTAAGGCACTCGAAAAAGATGGTCTTCCATGTAGATGGACGATCCTTGTGGCAACACAAACTGAGGGTTAGCTTCTCTGCTTCAGGCAAGTCCACTAAAGCAGGAACAAAACAACAGGTCAAATAAAGCAGGCCAATCTCTGAACAGGTAGTTTAAACATTAGGAGTCATAACCTCACATTAAACACTGTGAGAAACATTTCAGTTCTGAACATTTCATGGAGGGTCAGTTCCAGAACACGAGTCATTTACTGCAGCTTCCTGCTGGCATCGATCGAACACAGAGGACAATGGGCCTCATGTAAGAACCGTTGGTACACAGATTTGTTCTTAAATTGTGCGTACGAGTGATTTAGGAGAATTTGTGACATTCACCAATGTTTTC